AAATTTTCTCAATATTAAAATGTAAAGATGTGAGAAATTGAACCCTTAAAAAAATTAAGAAAAAGGCACATAGATAGAATGATGTGGCTGCCACTCTTGGAATAACCAACTGTTGAGAATTATTGGTTGATTTTGAGACATTGTCGTACAATTCTCCCAATTGAATAATACTTTTCTCAATATCAAATTTTCTCAATTTTGAAATCTAAAGATGTGAGAAATTGAACCCGAAAAAAAATTAAGAAAAAGGCACATAGATGGAATGATGTGGCTGACACTCTTGGAATAGCCAACTGTTGAGAATTATTGGTTGATTTTGGTACATTGTCATACAATTCTCCCAATTAAATACTAATACTTTGTCCTCCCCTACGGGTAGGGGTGGACAGACATCGTGTTAGGTCAGGTGAGGACTTGATTGAGTTGGTGTTATATAATAAGAGATTTTTTCTTAAATTTGATTTGACCTTAATATCGGGCTTTTATATCTGTCTAAATCTAGATCAAAAAATAATTATAAATCTCAGGTTCATTTATCGGGTTATATGTTAAAAAAATTAAAATATTCTATAATTAAATTCAATCACAGATTATATTTATTAAACAAATATATTGACATTATTATAAATTAAAAAATTTTGTGTATAAATTAAAGTACTTTTTAAATAAATTCAATTAGACATTACCAAAAATGTGAGTTTCAATAGAATCCAACAAAAAATAAATAATTTAATATATTATAAATAAATAAATAATTTAATAGCAGACTGGGTTGGATTAAAGTATAAATTCTAAACTTACTCCATTAATATTTCGAGATAATGTTAATCTAGGCATTTATCTTTCCCATCGCTTGTTGGTCAAATTTGGAGGAATATAAATTCCTTTACCAAATGTTAGATAGTTACAATTCTAGATTTGTAAATCCACTCACAATTATATGGCAAGAGAGTTGAACTCTAAATCATTGAACGTGTAACAAATAAAAAAAATTAACACCTATCATACTATACTATTGTAAGTCAAATTATGAAAATATTTTAAAAGTCTCAAATATTTTCCGATTTCTTTTACTTCGAGCCACACTCGTCAAGCTCTTTGAATCCATCTTAGGTTGTAGCAAAGGCCATCAAGTGACGACATTTTTCTAACTTAACCATGGAACCTAGACTGACCAAAGAAATCTACGTTGGCTGGTTTTCGCCAACACAGGGAAACCTTAAACTCAACACAGACGGAGCGGCTAAAAACAACTGCAACTGATCATCAGCAGGAGATCTCATAAGATATAGCACTGGTGGATGGATTGATGGATTTTGTCAAAACATAGTAGAGCATCTAGTATGGCAATAGAGTTATGGGCACTAAAAGATGGACTAAAACTTGTCTTAGATCTCAATCCATCTCTATCTTGTCTTGAAGTAGAAACAGATGCATTGTTTATAAAACAATTAATATTGGGTGCAGTGGTGGAGTCAAGATTTTGATTTCGAAGGGACACCATTGAATTACGATCCTAACAAAAATCACAATTTAACTTAATTTTTATTTGATGATAAGATTAAAAATTAGTAAGATTGCAAATGTATATTTAAATATAAGTTCAAGTTCACTAATCATTATATGTATTATTATTAATTTGATTTTATGTATGATGATCATCATGGTTTAAAAAAAAATCACATGTCTTCAGAAAATATAAGAGCAAAATTATATTAAGATAAGCACATAAAAAGAAATATAGAGAGGGATAGAAAAAGAAAAGAGAGAAAGGTGAATAAATAATACACATGGACTGTTATATATCACTTGTGTTTTTCTCTACTTTGAATCATTAAATTAAATGACAATATATTATTAGTTGTCATTAATTATGTAATCAATGTTTGAAAACCCAAATCAGATTAGTTGATCAGATCGGTCGAACCGATGATCGGGCCTAGTTCCAGTCCGAATGACCCTCCAAACTCGGATTATACACAAAACTGGCTTAGAATTTGAAAATTGGAAGAATCGCTGATTCAACTAGAATAACCGGCAAACCGGTCATAGGTTGACATAACTGGCCGGATTTGAAGAATTGAAATTTTTTTCAAAAATATTTTGTAGAGAGGGTTTGAATATGGAACCAAGTGTATAAAAACAAGCACTCTAATCACTAAGTCGTCAACACATTTATTAATAATGTAATAAGTATATATACTATATATTTAATATTATCTTAATTATTTATACTAAAAGTCAATGCATAAAAGTGTAAAATAAATTTTGAGAAATATTTTTTTTAATAATTGTTTAATATATATTACTTTTGTAATTTTAATATCTATATGTTTTATACATATAAATTTTAATATATTTATAACATAATTATGACATCACGGTTCAATTCTGATTCACCCACAATAGAACTAGTGATCCATCCGCTCAGTCACTTTTCCGCTTTGCTTACCAGTCCAATTTTCAAAACATTGATGTAAATAAATGAACCAATTACAAATATTTATATAAGATGTGATATAACAAAAAATTGGTAACATATAACATTTATCTAATATAAAATTTATAAAAATATTTTTTAGTATAATTAAATATTTATAGTGATAAATTAAGGGTAATGCACCAATAAATCTCAAATCATAAACTTTTGAACTTATTAGTCCCGCCTTTTATTTTATGCACTGATAAGTCCCATTTGAGTGGTACTGACGTTTTTGTACATGGTATTAGCTCGTGTTCTCCCAAATGTTATGGGTAAATTAAAGATTCAACAATGTAGAAAATACGTTTGTACCCAAAAAGCTTACTATAGTTTTCTGTTTTCCCTCCATCCCGATCAAAATGAAAGAGACGAAGATGAAAACATTGTGGATTCCCGATGTTAATGAGTGTAGATTGCTTTGTTTGTTGTTTATTTGATTTTGGCAACGCTAAACCCTATCTTTGTGTTGCCAATTTTGATGTTTGGTTCTTCCCAAATCCTAGAAATATAAATCTCTAATTCTGTCAATACAACGATTAAGATCGAGAACTACATCATTTCGTCGTTAGGTTAACGTTACCAACGTACAACCGATGTGTGTACACTCCTCATTGAGTCATCATGGTGATTTTGTTAGTGGGGAATGGCGTCAAGTATATGTTACGATGTTATATTACTTCTTTGATAAATATTTCGACTATATTGTCGACATTGTTGTCTATTTTTATATGTAATGTTGGTTTGGTAATGTTATAAGTTCGCATTGTATTATTGTTGTATGTGAATGGTAATGTAGGTTTGGAGTATATTGGGGTTTTGATGGTGTGGTCATTGTTCTGTTATGGGGTTCTATATGTGTAGATGTCATTTGGCAAGTTAGTGTAACTTTATATTGTCAAAAATTGATTGTTTTGTGTAACGTTGTCAAAAATTGTTGGTCGCATTTTGTCACTGTGATATTTGTATTAACATGTGTTTTGTACGTGTGAAATGACTCCTGTTTTTTGACATTATTATGGTTATCGGGGATATAATAGTGTTAGTTAGTGGTATGAGTCATTTGGATGTTAACTAATGTGAATGTTATAGTAATGATAAACACCACAAAAGGAATGAACACACAGTAGTAACACCACAAACATGGTAACATCATTCACCTATAAATCACTGCACTAAATTCTTAAAAAAGAATAGAAACGTTAAAACTTATCTTACCCACACACACTCAACATTTGAAAAAAAAAATCAAATAAAATCCCACACAAAGACAAATAAGTAAACTCCTAAACCTCCAAATGAAGAAAAATACAACATACTCAAAATAAAAAAACACTAATTGATTTGAAAAAAAAACCTCTAAGATTAAATAGAATAACTTTTCTCCAAATAAGATTTATGAGTAATTTTTTTATAAATTTAACAGATTTTTTTTTTTTTTGTAAAAAAAATAGTGATATAAAATTTTAAGAAATTATTTGAAAGGATTATATTAAAATATATTTCTTTATTAAAGGCATAAATATAATTTTTTAAAAGTTGAGAAGGGACATGACCCCTTAGACCGTACGTGGCTCCGCCCCTGATTGAGTGTCACAAATATACATCATCAGCTCAACACTCTCATCTTTGATTGCCAGTTATGATCTCGCTTGCATACCTGGAAATTTGGAGGGAAAAAGGATTTCGTATGTTCTCTCCCCCTTGTATTGTTAAGTTGCTGCTTGATGATTCTATCCAGACTATTGTACTGTCAATGCTGCTACACGAGTCCGGATCCTTTGCCGTAGTCTCCTGCGGAGCTCCCTGCCATGGTTCAAAACGACGTCGTTTTGAAGGTTTTTTTTTTTTTTTTTTTTTCCGTTCCCGTACGTGGCTCCGCCCCTGATTGAGTGTCACAAATATACATCATCAGCTCAACACCCTCATCTTTGATTGCCAGTTATGATCTCGCTTGCATGCCTGGAAATTTGGAGGGAAAAAGGATTTCATATGTTCTCTCCCCCTTGTATTGTTAAGTTGCTACTTGATGATTCTATCCAGACCATTGTACTGTTAATTTTCTGTTTTAATGAAGTTTTATTTACAAAAATAAAAATAAAGATAATTGGTGATTGACACTTGACATGAAGTAATGTCTCAAAAGCCATCAATAATTTCTCCAAGCATGATAATGGAGATCAACAATGATTCATCCCATTAAAAACATCACCATTAATAGCACTAATACATTAAAAAAGTAAAAAAAAATACAACTCTAAGACCAAAACATCACATCATTAATGACGGGACTCACTGCCACCTAATTAGTGGGAGCACTAATTAGTGCGCCCAAGCATTTTTCTAATGGAGATTTTGTTTTTAAGTGAATGAATTTAAACAAACACAAAAAAAATTTATAGACAATTTATACACAATAATACTTATTATGTTAAATCAAAAAACTTATAAAACTGACATTATTTCAAAATTACTCCTATCATGTCATTTCAATTGAATATTCCGATTTTGTTTTCTTAAATAAGGCAGTTCAACATATTTCTGTACATTATTATTTTCGTTTAAATTCATTTTGGGCACATAAATACCAATAACACAATTTAAATAAATAAAAACACAAAAATAGACAAATTCTGTATACATTTGAGATTGAGAGCAAAAACAAGAGACAGAGAGACAGATGCAGATAGAGAAATCTGGATCATCCACGTGTCAGAGAACCAAGCCCTTTGGAGATGCTATTAACGGTTGGATTGAAGCCCAAACAACCCAACAGCCCATGCTTGTACGGTAATATAGTCTTCTTCCTCATCTCCTCCGCCACCGCCCTGTTAGCCGTGTAGTGCAACTCGTGAGCCGACACCGCCGGCCCCCTCCTCCTGGAAGAACCGCCAGTCTCCGTCGACCGGAAGCTGGAGTTCTTGACTTCCTCAGTAGTACTCTTGTTGATCAACGAGTACTTGTTCAATGGATCCTTGCTCGACGCTCGACCTTCCGAAGCACTTCGGAACAGCAAAAAGTCCTTCAGTCTCCACTTCTTGTATCCTCTCCAAGCCGAAGTCGAAAACGAAAACGAATTCGAATTTGGATTTGTTTTAGTGGATGTTGAAGAAGAAGAAGAAATGGAACTCTGTTGTTGTTGTTGTTGTTGTTGTAGTCGTTGATTGCTTTCGCTTTCGAAGAGGTCGCAAACCCTAAATGGAGACAGAGATCTAGTCCCTTTCTGTCTACGACTCTTCGAAGCCGATGAATTCAACATCCTCTCTCTCCCTCGCTCTTGCTTTTCTTCATTTCTCTTCTTTTGTTGTTGTTGATTATCGTTACTCTCTCTTCGAGTCTGTTCCATCGCCGCCGCAAAAGGATCGAAATCTCTCTTCTTATGGCGCGGCGACAGAGCTTCTTTGAAAATTTTGGTGGGAGATCTGGGTGATCGCGGAGAATCATGGTCGGTGAATTGCAAGCGAGGCGGTGGCTTGAGAGGCTTGATCTTGCCGCCGTCGAAGAGCTCGTCGGCGGAGAGGGAAGTTCTCTGTAAGTGTCCGCTGAAATCGAATTCGAAATCGGTGTCTTGGTTGATTGGGAGTTTTGATTTGGGAATTCCGGGACTCTGTTCCCAATTGAAGGGGATAGTCAAGGGAAGAGAGGCGGAGGAGGAGGAGTCGGCGGAGAGAGAGTTGAAGTCGAGGAAGAAGGAGGAGGAGCGAGTGGGGCTGGTGGGGGCGCTGAAGAAGAAGTTGCCGATCCGCTGAGGGCTTGAAGGAGCGCTTATGTATGGAGTAGTGCATGAGCTGTCGAAGTTGAAATCCACAGCTGGTGATGGTATCATCACCTCTAACTCCATTTTGGTTTCTCTCTCTCTCTTTCTCTCTCTCTCTGTATCAGAAATAAGGTTGAAGCCGATAAGAGGTTGTAGGATAGTTGAAGATGGAAAGATTTATACAGAGAGAGAGAGAGAGAACGGAGGAGGAAACAGCAAGGAAAGGAGAGAGAGAGAAGATTGGTAGTATCCCAGAGCAGAACCGCCTTTTAAATCTGGCGTTTTTTATTTTTTTTAATATGAAAATAAAATGATAATAAGAATTTGCATCATTATTAGGGATGGATGCAGAGTTATCCGAACTGCACAAACCCCCGATCTGAACCGATTTACATATAAATAGAAGGTTTAACAAATACAATATAGGTGGATACAGTTTGAAATATGATATTATTACAAATTGTGGGCGGATTGTGGGTTTTGCCGGCATTTGCAAAAACCTACCCGCACTTAAAACTTTTTTTTTTTTTAATTTGAATGGCTGATTTCATTCATCATATCCTAAATAGAATTTGCAAGTTTGTAAATATTTTTATTTTATTTAATGGATTTGAATTTAATGAAATTTGATAACAATTTATTATTATTTTATTATTACATTTTGGATGAATGTAAAAGTTAATAAAAATATTTGACACCTCTAAATGAGGATATCTAAAGGGAGCTCTAGAGGTGGCCACATCACTAAAGTTGACATTAGAGCTTCAACTCTAGTGCTCTTTATCATTTTTCAAAAGTTAATGAAGAATTAGTTAGTGCTCTTTATCATTCTTCAAAAGTTAATGAATAATTAGTTTTAGGTAAATTTAAGGTTTTGAATAATTTTATTTTTATTGTATTGTTGGACAGTGGATAATTTTGATGATTTAGTTTAAGATTTTAAAAGATGTGCTTGCGTTATTTTATGATTTTATTTAAAACTATAAAATTTTGAAGAATTTACTTGTGTTAGGAATTGATTTTGTTGTGTTTTTAATTTTATAAATTTTAATTCATTAATTATTAATGCTGGGTATTTTTAAAATGGGAGAAAAATGGCCCAAATAAATATTCACAAAACACGAAAAAAAAAGGCTCAAATAAATTTTTAAAGAAAAAAGTCCAATCTGCAAACCGTCCGCACATCTGTGAACCCTATCCGCACAAACCGTAACTCCCATTGCGGACTGTTGCGGGTTCAATTTTTCCTAAATCGCACCTATATAAGCCGCAAATCAAATCGTCCAAAATAGAATTGCGAGTACCCCTAATCATTACATGTATATAAAAAAAAAAAATGGGATAATTATTAAAAAAAAAAATAGAATTTGAGTCTTGTAATAAAATAAAGGATAAATTACATTGGTATCTTTTGAGATTTAATCTAATTATATCACGTCTTTTGACGTTTTGAAAATTACATTCCTACTCCTATGGTTAATAGTTTCATTTCACAAACCCCTATTTATATAAAAGACAATTATTTCTAGTAAAAAAATAGAAGAAATTAAATTTTAAAAAAAAAGTGAAAAAGTTTTTTTAAAAAATAAAATAAAATAAAGGAAGTAAAACAAAGTAAAAAAAAAAGAGAGTGTATAAGTTCAATATTTTCATTTCGTCTAAATAATTATAATGACAAAGAATTAGTGCAATTTCTCAAACGTCAGAGAGTGATATGTGTTAAACTCAAATCTCAGTAGTGTAAGTGTAATTTACCTTAAAATAAATTCTGAATTTTTTATTTTGTTAATTTAAACTCTAATTTTTTAATTTGTTTTTAATCTAAATTATTTGCCTATTTTTGTTAAATAAAACCGAAAGAAAAATAAATTTTTATTCATTAAATTTAATATACATAAAGTGTCTAAAATAACTTTTTCTATGAGTTCAATGACTAAAATATTAATTTTTTATTGATTTTACTTAAAAAAAATAAACAAATAATTTAGATTAAAAACAAATCCAAAATATAATGTTTAAATTAACAAAATTAAAAATTAAAAAATTATTTAATTACATGCCTCAAAGTCTGAGTTTTTATTTTTATTTTTTTCTATATAATTTGTCCAAAAAAATTTATTCGGATATCATTACTTATTTTTATTGTATTATATAATTTAAAGTATTATGTTTCTTATTTTTATTGTATTATATAATTTAAAGTATTATGTTTATTGTATTATATAATTTGAAGTATTTTGTGATATTGTGTTTTTTTTTTTTTTTTGTCTTGCTAAATTTCTTGTCTTTTTGATTATTTTAATCATAAAAAGATAAAATAATTTTTTTAATTTAATAAGATAAAAAATCACATCTAACTCATAATTATTTTATTTTTCTCTCATAAAAATTAAAAAAATTAAAAAATCTATCGAGACTTTTTAGTCTCAGATTAAAATAGCAAGAAAGGCAATCCACATCCCAAAATGAGTTCTATTGTCTCATTTTTAAAATTATCCACTACATTATTGGTTAAGAGTGGTACATAAATAATGTTATATGTTAATTTAAAGGGTAATTGCATACTATTGTCTCACTTGTAAAATTATCCACTACATTATTGGTTAAGAGTGGTACATAAATAATGTTATATGTTAATTTAAAGGGTAATTGCATAGTGGTTGTAGCAAACAAAAAAATATAATAATAATAATAATAATAATAATCATAATAATAATAATAAATACAAAAGTATGAAAAAGTATAGTATTTCAATTATTATATTAACTTTTTTATGTTTTTGTAAAATTCTTTTATTGCACCTTCCGTGCAATTATTTTTTCTCCTAAATTAAAATTGCTAAGTAATTAAGATTAAACAATAATATTATAATAATTATATTTATGTAACATAATTTATTTATCATTTAGCCTTCGTTTGACATGTTAGGTTTTTTAGTTTTTTTTGGCTATTTTAACTACAAAAAGACCAAATAGACTTTTTAACCCAATAAGACAAAACATCACATCCACATCATAATTATTTTATTTTTTTCTTACAAAAGTTAAAAAATTAAAAAATTTATCTCAATTGAAACTTTTTAATCCCGGACTAAAATAGCCATGAAAATCAACTGACATCCCAAATGAACTCTAGTATATCAATAATACATTAATTTAAAAGCTGGACCTCATCTTTATTACAAATATAATTGTGACACATATTATGATACATAAATATGACCATTATGATGTTTAATTACTTCATAGCTAGTTGTTTAGATGTTAAAATTACATTTGGCACAGTTAAACAATGCATAAAAATTACTTATATGGTGAATTTGGAATCAGATTAAAAAAGTCACATTTGATTTGAATTTTTTTTTTCTGTGAATTTTTTTCAATTTTGTGTAAAAAATTTTACTTGTCAAATCCATTTAGTATGACTTCGTTTGCCAAGTGAATTGGGACTAATTTAGGCAAAGTTTGGCAAGTCTATAAAAAATTAAAAAGTTAAAAAGTTATTCAAAAAATTAAAAAGTTATCACTATTTACCAAAAGTCAAAAATTACGGTTGTACAACTCTTAATCCTAATTTTTTCCTACACACTAATTTATATAATTTTTAAATACACATTTTTCCATAAAAATCAAAAAATTAACCCAAACATCCATATTTGTTTCCTTAATTTTTTAATCCAAAAAGACAAAAAGTACACTTATTTAGGACACCCCAAACAACCCCTTAGTCTATTAAAAGACAAAATAAACTAAAAAGTAATAAGACAAATTATCACATTTAAATTATAATCGTTTCATTTTTTTTCTCACAAAATTACAAAAAAAAAACTAAAAAAATTTATCAAGCGGAACTTTTTTAGTCTGGCTAAAATAACCCAAAAGTCAAACTAAGGCCTAGTTTGGAAACATGTTTTTTTAGTAATTTTTTGGCTAAAATATGATTTTAAAAAAATTAGTATATTTGGTTACGAAAAGATGTACAAAAAGTAGAGAGAAAATGAAATCTTTGACTTTTTGGTATGAGTTGTTGGTTTTTTGATTTTTTTAGTAATTTTTTGACTTTTTAACTAAAATACCCACTTGCCAAACGAGGCTTAAAAAATTTTTTAAAGAAAAATTAGTTTACAAAAGATCCCAAAAAAAAAAAAAAAAAACTTTATTTTGGCTTTATATTGTCTTTAGCGGACTTTTTTTTTTCCTATCATTTATTTTTATTTTTTATTCACCTAGAGAGCGGATACTAAGGCTTGGTTTGGGAAGTAGGTTGGCTTTTTGGCTTTTTTAGCTATTTTAGCCTGGGCTAAAAAGCTTGGTTTGGGAAGGACTTTTTGACTTTTTGGCTTTTTTGACTTTTTTTGTGAGAGAAAAATGTAATGATTATAGGTTGGATGTGATGTTTTGTTTGTTATGGCTAAAATAGCCTATTTTGTTTTTTGTGGCTAAAATAGCCAAAAAAAGCCTGAAAATCAACTTGCCAAACAGAGGCTAAAGGTGTAAACGTTGTTGAAAAATTATACATATAAAGTTCACTAAACACTAAAAAAAAACTACTTAAAAGAGTTCCAAGTTTGGCTACAAAGAAAAAAGTGTACTTATTTTATCTTTTTATCTTTTTTAGGTCACATCAATCAACATCTCCTCTCTATTTTTTCTACACATAATACAAAAAAAATTAAAAAATACACTTATTTAGTTTTTCCAAACTAAGCCAACCTACCGTAGTTTGAATGCTTCTCGTCTGAATTGATTGTGATAAAGTGAGGCGTAGTGTGTGAGGGTGAGGGTTGATGAGTCAAGAGTCTCTCCTTGCAAGCTTGTGCTTGCGTCCGTCCTTGCAGGCTTTCGGGTCTACTTTTAGGCTCAATTTTGATAATTCGAACCGTTTATATTTTATGATTTATTCAGTATATCATACCTGTAAAAAATCAAGTTGATCGGATATCAGAAACTATGTGTTTGAAAAATTGAACTAAACACTATTTTTTAAAGAATTTAATAAACAGTTTTCCGAACATATGCTTTCTGATATCCGATCAACTTGATTTTTTACAGGTATGATATACTGAATAAATCATAAAATATGAACGGTTCGGATTATCAAAATTGGGCCTAAAAGTAGACCCGAAGGCCTGCAAGGACGGGCGCAAGCACGGAAGCTGCAAGGAGAGGATCCTCACTCGAGGGTTGATTTGTGTAGTTTGAGAAAAGTGATT